CTGGACCGTATTCTCAGTGTTTATACTCGGCCGTGAGCGCTTTGGCACTCGCTATCACCGCCTATCGAGACCGTAGAGACTGTCTCAATGCAGTAGTCGCGCAATACGAGGACAGTCTCCGCCTTTTGGGAGAAAGCCTTGCCGTTGTGGGAGACGCTTACAGGAGCGAACTTGTAGCCGCAGTTATGTGTTTGGCACTGACGGAGGTAATCTCGCCCATCTCTCAGACGATTGTTTACTGATCTTTCTGGCTCTCTTTTGGGTTGTTTAGTTCAAGCAAAGGCTAATGAAATATGATAGGTGCTTTCCCCGACGCAAGAGTCTAGTTGGCTGATACATGTGGAAGGCGTCAGCAAGATGTTTCAACTCATGCCGCCAGAGATCTTCGCATCGGGCATCGAGCATACCATGCTTATGGGCTTCAGACCGCTTTTAGTAAGTACAATGCCACACGAGAGAGTTTCATGATCTGACATGTCTACGTCCTAGGTACTCAAAGCCTTTATACTTCGGAAATCGACATTCTTCGCAGATGGATCCTGGCTTACACTGCCCTTCCAACATCACAAAGGTGCCCCATTACAGAGTCTCTTAGGTGTCGCAGCACACATTCCCGGTCTCCTGGAGAAGATCGACGTGGTACTGCCTACTTCTCCCAACGCCGCTGCCGTTGGCACAGCTGGGTCAGCCAACCAACTCATCATAGAGCTCATGGGAAGCATATCCCAACTCAAAAACTGGCACAGCGGCTTCCTAGCAAACACCCTAGAACCAATCTCCTGTCGACAGAGCGTAGAGCGCGATCTCGGCGGCACCTACGAATCGCTATGGTACCCAAGCCTCGGTATCGCCAACGTCTTCGTCTATTTCTGGGCTTTCCAACTTCTCTGCCTCAAGGAGATTCAGGGCCTTTTGAATCGTTTTCCGGGACTAAAGCATGCAGTGCATGATGATGCGGCATACAGCCCCGAAGCGTTGCGGGAGGAGTGTCTTGAGCTCAGTACTTGCATCTACAAGAGCATGGAGTATCTACTACAGGAAGACTTTATGTTGTATGGGATCTCATCTGCTGGTTTTCCGTTGAGCATGGCGTGTGAGGCGCTCCAGGCGGATGCTGATGGTCGAGCAATCATGGCGACGCTGGATCAGTCGATTGTTACTCGGGCAAGGCTGAGAAACCTATGAGTCTGGACATCTGAGCATACTTATGAGGGAGTCAGAACAACCAAAATGCATGTGAACTCTCGGTCCTAGTACAATAGTGTATTGTATTGGTAGAAACAAAAATTAAGGTTACATTTCAAGCATACATCATCATGAATATCGTCATCTCCTCTCCTCCCGACCATCAAACCATCAGTTATTGCATTGCGCGCCGTCAGTCATATTAATCTCAGTATACACCAAATGGTCCTGGTTGATAAACCCAGTAGCAGATCCCTTGTTGCAATCCGGGGCTTCCTGGCCAAAGCAGCGGTACGTTGTTCCAGCACTCTGAGTACCGAGAATGGGTGCAGTGTTTTGCTCATAGATCTCCGTGCGCGTGTGCACGAAACCCATGGGGGTGAGCGGTAACCCGGGTACGCCGTCGATTCGATGCGTGATACGGATGAGCGTGCCGAGATTGGTGTCGCTCGCGCCAGATAGCTTGTCAGTGTAGTCAGCGTACTGTTGGTTTCCGACGCGCAGAGAGCCCATGGTGTATGCGATTTTGATTGGTACGCCGTTGGCTTTGAGGTCAGTGTACGCGATACTTGCGAGACCACCTCCTAGGCTGTGACCGGTGATGATGGTGGAGTAGGACGGCTGCTCAGCACGTAGTTCCGCAAGAGCCTGGATAACACCAGCCTGAACAGACCGCCAACCTTTCAAAACACCGCCGTGGACTTGGCAACCGGTACAGCCTGGTGCTGAATCAAAGGGCATGAAGAAGAAGTTGAAGTCTGTTCCGAAATCCTGTAGTGAAGATGAGCCAGCGAAGGAGACGATGAATTCCTTGGCGGCGTCATCTTGGAAGACGGCGACTTGGGTGTCGTTTACGATGTCGGAGACAACTTTTCGGACGAGTTTTGAGCCAAAGGGAGGGCTTTTGCAGGTTCCGAAGCCGTAGACGAAGGTGGCGAGGGAGGCTACGGCGTATCTGGTGTATCGTTGTAGGACTGGGTAGAACTTGGGTTGGACTGGTGATGGTGAGCGAGCGATCATGTCGCATACGGCTGGTTTATCATACTGAGCTCTTTGGGTTTTGTCTGCCTGTTGGCGAGTTCGCGGATGTCAGTTGGGGCAGCCTGAACGAAGGGTGCGGCGAGAGCGGCAACGGCAAAGGTGGAGAGCTTCATGATGATCGAATGGTACAATACTCAACAACACCTCTCTCATCAAAGCGACGACGCGTTATATACATACACGGCCCTGTCACTGACTCCACTCCCCTCCCTGAACGCTTCCGCCATCCCAAGGCACCGTAGCACTCCTCCCGGAACCAGCCATCCTGAGTCGTTCAAGCATCGCGCCGTGCAGATCACAAGCTACCGGCTGTCAGGTACACCGCATGACTCGGTCTCACAAGCTCCAACCCCGAACTCATCATCCTCCTTAAAGTTGTTTGTGGAGTCTGGTGGCGCAAAATGATCGTTGTGACAGGCTCGGACCTGCGCCCTGAACGTTCAGGGCAAGTAGCGCCTGACCGATCGCCATGTTCGCACTTTGTTTTGCCGCTACGCCGCCGTGTTAGTGTATCGAAAACCACAATATACACTTCGGCAGCTTCGCTTTCGCTTTCAGGCACGTGTGTGCTGCTGTGTGGTAAGCGGGAACGGCCGGCTGCGCATGGTGTGTTGTGGAGTTGGGGTGTATGTATGGGGGATCGCTTCAGGCTTCGTGGTGATCAACCCCGCACTGGTTTTCTCCGCTGTCTGCCGTCGCGTCGACTTGCCGTTGGTACCTGGGTAACTTTCGCTTCACATGGCTGCGCATGCAGTATTGCACGGTTATACATACGGTGAAGTCAGAAGTTTCGATTGAACTTGTCCAGTAACCCGTGGACACGTGCGACGCAGTTGGCGTCTACCATACTTGAGCTGGATGCGACCTCGGGACGGCGAGTTCTCCAGTGAACCCAACGGCGTGAAGCTAAATGTTGAACAGGACATGTTTCCGAGAGGCCAGAGCTATGTAGCAAGCATTCCCAGCACCCAGATACGTAGAATGTAATCATACTCGACGTCGGAGCCTAGCAAGTCGAGGATTACAAATGTCATCGGAAGCTTCTCCTCCATCTGGCGAGCAGCGTCATTCATGTAATATGAGAAGGTATTTGTATACCTCGGCTTATACGACATCAGACAATGGGAAGTACCGCATCGGCTCGTTCGTTCTCTGGCTCAGGTTTTGCATGTTGCCATGCCGTCTCGTGTCCCTGCGTAAGATCGCGGACAGCCGGTGAAGAAAAGATCTCATCGCAGGTACCTACACCAGCGACACTCTTCTTTATCCTGGCGACAATGCCCTCACACATCGAATTCCTATCATTTACACAGTAATCGATGGTTTGGAGGAGACTATAGCTGTCATCACTTCCGCAGCACCCGCATAAGGTTGCACACAAGGTTCGCCGGCTGTGGAACGGGTGTTCAGCGTTTCAGCGCCTCACGGCTGTGACATAAACGTCATTTTCATTCCGAGCGCAGGGTAGTAACGTACATCGTCGGCGGAGGAACTCTGAGTTGAAGATCCGACGTCGTCATCTGAGTGTCACGAAGAAATGCGTCCATTATGGCGTGGTGAATCAGACGACCATCAATCGCCTGGAATCACTTCTCCTTCAACACCTTCTCGTGGCTTTGCGGCAATGGCTTTTTAGAGATGTTTGGAATCGAACTTTGAAATGTGATGGAAGATACAGTCTTTCGGCGTTAACATTCCCACGTCGAGAGGCCGTCGAAGACCAACGCATCGTTACAATAAAAAATGAGGCAAATTTCGTAACGGTGGCTTTTGTGACCTCTTCAGACAGTCTTGGGGCTTTGCAGGCAGCGACGCACGTGGTAGGAAGTTGTCTTCTTTTTGTTTTCATTCTGAACTTCAAATCCCGGTAACGTCCTCATGTCTCGCTGTTCCTCAAAAATGATACCAAGACCGTACATGTTGTCTTTGTCACCGTCTCTTGCCTTCATGGAAATGACAGGAAGGTGTCGCAACAGTTTTTGCAGAGAGTGTGTACCAAAACAGTTTTGAAGAGCGAAGATGGCCTGCTAAGAAGCGTATTATGTGGTCTTCCCTTCTTCAAAGTGCGATATGGTTGCGTCGATGAAATGGCCTGCTTCCGCTGGCCTTTCCGCGGGAAGTTGGATTTTTGTCGTGCCTCGTGCTGCTTGACACCTAAGTATATTCTAGCTTGATGCTTCCGTCCTCTGCCGTTTCGAAGGCGATGTACTCTTAATAGCGCGGTGAAAAGATGTAAGTCACGTCTTTTCTTTTTGACATAGCTGCGGTGTGCGATTATATCTGATGTTGGCGCGCACCCACCTGCCCAGGTGGGTATACTCGGATACCTCAGGGTCGAAAGTTGCGGATTTCCGACCCAGGATAACTGAGCTTGCGCGGCTTCATTAAGTCCTTATCACTCACCAAGACTTGAAGCTTAGATGCAAACAGCTCGTTGTTGATCGGGGGTCCGAGACGCAGTTGCTTACATCGCCATAGCCGACCAATCACAACTCAGGGGAAGTGCTGACCGTCCTCCCGAGCTCCGTCCGCCCCACGCGAGCTCCACGCGTGTTTGCCCACCCCTCGCGGCACGCCTCTCTGAGTCCGGAGTCCATGACGACACAGCGTAAGCCGAAGATGTTTGCGCCCTTGCACGGGGCACGAGGCGTCCGGCTCTCCGCTGCAGTTGCGGCGCACAAAGTCCATAGATCTGCGACATGAAATATCACTCTCTTCTCCCGCTCATCGCCCAGTAAAACCGTTGACAATTATAATCATCCACAAACGTCAAGATGAGCCACCCAACACACCCAGCGACAGTGCACTTCCCCATCACCACCACTTTCCTCACAGGTGCTCTGGATGCCGTGTACTTCCTCTCCAAGTATGCGCCCACCTCTGACGCCGTGGCCTCAACCTGTAAGTCCTCCACCTCAACCATCTATCCATCTAGTTGCACGCATCTAACACCCCCAAGTCAAAACCTTCGACATCGCTATAAGCCCCTCCGTCTTCCCGCTCCTCTCCTACTACACCACGCTCCTCACGCTCCTCTTCTCCGCCCCGGCGGTCGCGACCGGCATGTACGAGTTTATACCGCTAGTCAAACGTGACGGTTTGAAGTCGAAGAAGGCACAAGTTGGCGCGCTACACGCTGTTATCAACGATGTGACGGTACTGGGCGCGGCGTTCAACTGGTGGACACGCAGGGGAAATCCCGGCATGGTGCCGAGCGATACCAACATCTTGGTCAGCAGTGTTATTGCGCTGCCGGCGACGATGTTCGCGGCGTACCTAGGCGGCAGTCTGGTGTATGTCTATGGCATGGGCTTTAGGGGTGGGCAAGCGAAGGCGAAGAAGGTGCAATAAGCGTAGGTGGGTTGTGGAGAGGTGGTGAGGTCAGTCACGATGAAGGAGCAAGACACGATGAGTGAGTTTTATCGCTCCATTTTCTGAGATTTTTGGGTGCCTGCTGAGGCCTATGCAAAGGAAAAAGACCAAACATCGCTTGTCTGTACAAAAGAGACCTACCGCCAATGTATCGGGCGGTATCCAACCGGGGTATAATGCGCCATCTATAACTTCCATGTAAATCTCAAACCACGTACCGAGCTTTTTACCACAACCTGTTCGTCCAAGCGCATTATTGGAACCCAGGGTACTGATTTGCGGACCATGGTTGAAACGGGCCAGGTGAATTGAATGAGTTGCCCTCAGACGCATATCCAGGTTGTTGGTAGTTAGGAGCGGACCACTGTGAGCTTGGGACGTGAGATGACTGAGTGTAATGCTCGTCTGGAGTAGTGCCTGATATATTTGGCGTGATCGGCGCTGACTCGGCGTTTGTAGAGTTCGCATTGACTGGCGTGGGATGGGATGGATAAGGTGAAGCACCCTGAACGGTATCGGGGGCCTTGTAACCGGTAGTTGCCGAACCGATCCTATGGCCTTGGCTGTTAGAGGCTTTGATAATCTCTTCCGGCGAGAGATACATGCTGGCGTTCTTTAAGACTGTTGGACTGAATGGACCTATATGCCTGGTCCTGATGTGATTGAAGAGAGTCATCATATCAGTGGCGTGGTCTCGACAACATCGCTCTTTGGTCTGAACAATATACGCGAGTGAGACCCCTTGCAAATGCTCCTTCGAAATATGAGTCGTGAAACGCTTTTCCTGGAGATAGCCCTTGCGACATGGGTCACATGATCTGCCGAAATAGTGTTCACCGCAGGTGTATCTTGCCTTGTCGTCCAGGGCCGGTGCGCGGCTGCTAGAGCGAGATCCACGAGGAGCATTCCAGCTTTTCGATCTGGATGGTGAAACTGACACGGAAAGAGCTCGACCACGATTGGGCGTAGTGTTGTTGACTTGGAGATAACCCGGGTGGGGAGCGGCTTCGGCCTGTCAGACTTTATTCTTTGAGACTGTATGAAGAGCACTTACCAGCGTTTTGCACCCAGGAATAAACAATATCGAATCCCACACCCATGAATGGAGGCAGATGAGACTTCTCCTCGCCTGTGAGATCTTTGGATAGCTGTAACTGAGTGGGCGTCTCTCTGGCCTCGCTGTTGCTACTTTGACCGAGGTTCCGATCCAACGCAGACGCATATCGTTCGAAGTAATCGATGCCCTGCATCGCAAGGAGATTGCGCAGGAATCTTCGCGGGTATTCGGGATCGAAGCGCGAGCGTTGGTTGATGTGTGTGAGTACTCCAAGTTGCTCTTCATTTGGCTGCGGCTGTGTTTGGACTGGTGGTAATCCCATCGTCAGTGGGGTGACGGGGCAGGGCACAAGGGAATGCGCATCGTTGCGTAGCTGATGCTGATATAGAGACTGCGCGAGGTCCATTTTGGGATGGTTGTCGTGACCAAGAATGTGCACTGCTGTGGGATGCGTTACGTTGAGGCGGGTGAGGAAAGCAATCCATCGTCGGCTGTGGCATTATATACATGATTTCTGGACACTGCGAGCGAGCAAAGACGCTGTCAAGCCGAATAATCTCATACTGAGTGGTGGTAGTCATGATCGACGCTTGGGAGAGTCGCACACCCTGGCCGGCCCGATTACACGAGCGCCACCTTTTGTGTCCGCAGTGGCATTGCTGGTGGCATTGTTCCGAGGCTGCGGCGGAGAAGAGCATCCGATCACCCCCAAACTAAGGCTAAGCTTCTCGGGGCTAGATCAAGCCCGTTTCCAGCTAAGCTCACCTGCACTGTCGTTACGTGAGCGCCCACCTGGGCACCACCTGCTGCACGGATTGCGTGTCAAGCCACATGGGCATCAGTCCAGGTCATCTCTTAATGACAGAAAATATTCTACGCATGGCCAATCGCTGTCCTGGAGCCGGGGTAGCTGAGCAGTAGTACCGACTCCGGCGTCTGGAGTCAACCTTGGAAAGCTGTACCATGGGGCGCCGGACGGGAGCACGATTAGAACTGCCGCTGGGGGGCTTTTCGCTCTGATACCCACAACGGCGTTTGCTACATTTTTTACACTTGTGTGCTTGATATCGGGTTTAATGTGTAGGCCTAGACGAACACCTAGTCATGATGCCACGAGCACGCCATGACTATCGACCTCCCAGCTATCACCTGATTACGCGCGGGCGGGACGTTGGTACTACGTCATGTGCTGTTTACTCGCCTAACACTGCACACGACACTCATTCGATGTAAATTCGGCTTTCGTGAGAAGGCCCCGAATATGCATGGCAGTTTCGTATGGCAAGAGAATGGCATGCACAAACAACGTGGTGAGATACCAAGGGTTGTACAGAGTTGTCCACTTGCCGCGCATCTCGGTGCATGTTTGTATGGGCTTCTAGCTTCATTATTCGAGTACAAAAGCTGTTTTGAGGGCAACAACGAAGTCTCAGAATTCTTGACAGGGATACCAATTTTCAGGCCACTCTTTAGATTGGTAGCCTACGTCACTATGTGGAAAGATGAGATTTGACAAGATGGGGTGGTTTGAACGCTCCAGAGTGAACGCTGAGCACCGTGCACCGACGGTCGCGGCCTCACGGGGTCTACTCGGTTCCAGCCTAGAGCCCGGGCCGTTAGTCTTGTTGCTTCGAAACACTGTGGCGCGCGTGGCTCGTTTTTCCAAAATATCTCGTTTCGCGCAATTCCCATTATTTACGATGCTTTTCGATTGATGGATGACGCGCAATAAGCATCGCAGCACGCTTTCCAAGGTTGGTTGTCACGGCCCAGAAGGCGCAGGCGCTGTAAAGCGTGTCAGCAGACCGGCGGAAATCGACACCACAGAGCCCTTCTGCATAGTAATGACTTCTTTTACTAGGGAAGTCAATTTAGTCGCGCTATTTGTCGCGAGCGATACACTCAACATTCTGGTCTCGACGAGATTGTGCTAATCAGCGCGCTCGTGAGTGTGGGAAAAGCGTAGATGTGGAAAAGACCGAACAATCGCAAAATCACGTTCGATGGCAGCACCAGAACGGTGCTGGCGCCCCTACGGACCCTCTGCACATACCAGATCGTCGCCCACAAAGCCATCGCTACAACAAGATGAGTTGCGCATACAAGATGGCCGCTTGCAGCGCTCTGTAATGCATTGGGAGAACATCTACCAGCCTCCAACAACATTATAGCTGCACATCAAGCGTCCGCCGCCGACAACCACCCCCACTGTCATGAACTGCACGGAAGCGGCCCCCACGGTGCCCGGGAGTGGCGTCAATACCAACACCATCGTCGGCATCGTTTACGGAACGATCTCTATCGCCATCGCATCGGTCGGTCTTTTCTTCGAGTACTCCAGGTTTCGTCAAGCGGACCGCAGAGGTATGTTTTGCGCTCTTCGAGATTATCGGTTGCCACGACTGAAGTTAACGTGCGCATCAGCGTGCAGCGCCTGTAAGATAGGGCTACAGGATCAGAGCGCCTCGGATGGTTAGTGCGATGTGCCGAGCTTCTGGCATGGAATGCCGACCAGGCTACGGATAATAATGATTGCATCTCCCAGGTTATCACAGCCAGGCTCATGTTATTGGTCGGCAGAGACAAGCTGGTGTATGGAACTTCGGACGACATCATTGTGGTGATTTGCCAAAGATTATGAGGCTAATGTGATGGATCAGTTTGAGACCAGAAGTGCACTCCATGTAGCATAATGAATCGCGCAACGCGCAGTTTTTACACGACGCTACAATCCGAATTCCAGTATAGCGTGAGCTTCAGTACCTTGCTTGCACCGGTGAACCATTCCATCCGCTTCACTCCTCAACGTCTGCTCCACCAAGAAGCTCATCTGAACATCACTCAACAGCTGGCAGCGCTGGAGCTCAAGCAGATCGCTCAAGTGGCAGTGAAAGCACATGGTCACATCATCGAGCGGTGTATGTTGCCGGCTCGGCTCACTCGTGCCATAATTACTCTTCGTCGTGGCCCCAGTACCTTTGCGCAGTACCGAAGGAGTGCGCAACTCCGGTAACAGTATGACCGCAAAGCCAGATATCAGCCATTTTCCGCTAGCGTCGAGACTGAGGATAAACGCGTTGTTTACGTCCGTAATACCAGAGAACATGCAGATGCGGTCGCCAGATCCTATCTCATATGAACCTGGACCTCCTCCGCACGCAAATCCAGTAATGCCGTTGGTGCCCACGATGGATGTGTATCGCGCATGCCGTTGATCTGTGTTTCGCCGAGCCAGTTTACTTCTAGCAGCGAGGTATAATGCCGCCGCGTCCTCCGTCATGCTCCTGGAGATGATGTTACGGATGACTTTGCTTCCATTGTCGCCAAGCTGTGGACTGGCGCTGGCGTCATGCCCTTGCTCGGCAGATGCGCGCGATAGACCATCGATCACCAAATCCGCGGACGCTTCAATCATGGCTTGCCGCACCTTCTCAGTCGGGCCGGGGTTGCCGTATGCTACATGAGGGTCAGCAAAGCTGAGCAGCGTTTGCGTGTCTCCTTTGGTGACGTAGTCGCCGAGGTCCTGTATATCTTGTGTCGAGAAGGATCTTGGATGCATGTTTGATCGCGTCCAGGTCGCTCTCCATGTGCCTGGTTGGAAAGCTTCGTCATGATCGACGAAATTACCAATTTCAGTAATGGTACTAAGGAATGAGACTGATGCGGTCATGCAGGGCGTAGCAGCCACGATGTAGAGGTGTGGCTGCAGGTCCGGGCACAGCTTTAGGATATGCTGTGCGAGGGTCTCACGCGAGACGCCTAGCGCTTGCATGAGGAACGTTAAGAAACGATAGTCGTCTGAGTCTCCTCTCCTAGGATCTTCGTGGCACTGGTTGCGAAGCACATCGACAAGAAGCTCAACGGGTGCTTTATTGTAATCAGGCACAATCCTCTCTCCACGGCCAGTCGATGCAACTCCCAG